ATATTTATGTAATTTTCCCTTTTTAAAATTATAGCTATTGAACATAATCAAGTTTATTGTATTGACTATTTGTGAAAAAATCTTTTTCTTATGATTTTGGAATTCGGCCCACAAACCCAACACATGTTAAAGCCCATGTGGAAGCCCTAATTTCTTCCCCTTAAAAATCTGCAGAGTTAGGGTTAAATTTTCCCCATTTCAGTAGAAGCAAAAAATTGGAGCAGAAGAAGATGGAGGCGGCGGCAGCAACAGCGGAATCTGTTCAATGCTTCGGGAGGAAGAAGACAGCTGTAGCAGTAACCCACTGCAAACGCGGTAAAGGTTTGATCAAGATCAACGGTGTACCTATCGAGCTAGTTCAGCCAGAGATTCTGAGGTACAAGGCTTATGAACCTATTTTGCTTTTAGGACGACATCGTTTTGCTGGTGTAGACATGAGGATCCGTGTGAAAGGTGGAGGTCACACGTCACAAATCTATGCAATTCGTCAGTCAATAGCGAAAGCACTTGTTGCATTTTACCAGAAGTATGTTGATGAGCAGTCGAAGAAGGAGATTAAGGATATACTTGTGCGATATGATAGGACTTTGCTTGTTGCTGATCCTAGACGATGTGAGCCTAAGAAGTTTGGTGGTCGTGGTGCCCGTTCTAGGTTCCAGAAATCTTACCGTTAATTTCTTTTTATTTCTGTCTCGTTATGGTTTTTGAACTTGTGCGCTGAGAATTTTGAAGTGATATTTCTAATGTTTTGGATTTTAAACTTTTATTATATGACTGCAATGTGATCAATCGATTCTATTTTTGGTTTGATTCTTACTACTATTATTATATTATGTTGCCATTTTTTGGATTGGAGCTCAAATGCAAAGCTCCACCCAAAGTTTACCTATTCATGTTTATGTGTACATCTGCTTTTGCTTTTAGATTCCTGTTTTATGATAGACTTTTCTTGCCCCTGCTAGACCCTCAAAATATGGTTTGCTTCCCTCTGCAACATGAGAATTTGAGTGCATTTGGCAAATTCTAAGATGCAGGTTTGATGCTGTATTTCACATTTTATATGTGATTTAAGCTAAAATCATCTTCTTTTTTTTCTGAATAATTGGCTGCTTCTAAACATCATCCCCATAGAAGATGTGAATGCTCCAAAACGGTGAACCATCATGTTTTTCTACTTCTGTGAAGCTGAAAAATCATTTTTTTTCTGAATGATTATCCGTTCCAATCTGTGTCATTTCCTTCCTTAATTTTGCATGTTACTTATCCCATTCTACCATCTGTTTAGGATTCATTTTGGTTTCTACTTCATGGAAGTTCAGACTGACTTTAGGTCAAGTGCTTCTTTTTACTACTTATTTGATTATTTACCCTCACTTTATTCACAACAATCATCCCCCACCATTGTCATCTACCACCAATCACCTGGGTCATCACAACTATCATTGGTAATCATTGTTGTTAACCATTACTCTCAGTCGCTACCATACCAACTATCATCACCACTCTCACTATCAGCCAATACCACCACTGTCGTTGATTTCTATCGATTTGACCCTCTTCACCATTGCACATCATCTACATACATCAACTACATCTACTATCATTATTGGTCACCAATCATTATCACCATAACTACAACCTATTTTCACTACTCAAAACATGAATGTTTAGCTTTTTTACATTAAAAAGTGGTTTTATTTTATTCTTTTTTTCCTACTGTTTAATTAAAAATTGATTTTATTTTACTTTGGTTTATTTTTTCCTACTGTTTAATAGATTACTTTAATTGTGTATTTATTATGTTTCTGAATGAATAAATTATACACATTCAAATTTTGAATAATGAATGGTTTAATCATTCAAAATTTAGATCTTAAATGATTTTTAATTGTGAATTTAGATTTAGATATTTTACCTATGCATATTGTTTATTTTTAAGTTTTTTAAATAATTGTCATGGGCATGGGTCAACTCTTTAGGAAGTTATAGCTATTATCTATTTGCTTAAGTACACCTCAGTCCGTCAATATTTGCCATCTTCAGGTGTATCTTTTAAACTAGCAAAGATCTACTTATTACCAATTTAGCACCATAATGCATACAAGCTCCTGTTGACATAATAGAGATAAATGCTGTAAGCTTGTAACAGTCCGAATTCCTCATTATTATATTAATAAGAGCATTGAATTGTGATTACAGTTTTATAATCGTAATTGTGATAAACTATTGAATTTTACAATGAGAGCAAGTATAAAGATAAGAATGGAAATGAAAATCATAAACTCTCGAGAAGAAGAGAGGATATGTATTTTCTTCAATATGTGTAATTCCTATACCACTACCCTTTTGATAGAATTATTCTCACTCAGGATTCCAAATTAACTCGGTCAAGTCACTGTACTCTTGTCCCTTTCAATACTTAGAGCTTAGCATCATCAACTATAGTTTCAATATCTCTAAAGTGGTTAGTTTCCCCATGTAATATCTCGTTGAACACTGTGTGTGCTAGGCTTGGGATGTTGCGGTCCGAGTGTTCATCCAAGTACTAAGGGTGAGGATGAGTTAGTAATATTACCCCGTGCGTGATTGAATAGCTTCCTGATAGTATTCCAGTGCCTCATAATTTGGGGTGTCAAAAGTGAAATCAAACATAGATAACATGTCCAACTCGTTCAGAAGGTTGGGCTCAAGATAATTTAAGGCTCAAGTATAATCCATTTAAAGAGAATCCTCAATTGAGCCAATTCAATCTCCAATTTCAACTTGTTTTAAAACTTTTTACTAACATATGTTTCTATATTTAAGGTATAAATTGTTATCTATTTAGCATTTTTTAGGTTTATCTATCCATTTTTTATTACTTTTTTTTAAAAAAAATTCCAGCAAAAATTTAAATTGAAATTATAAAAGTTAAATATCAATATGTTAAATAATGAAAGATTATTCGGGTTAAATTGGGTGGGTCAAGACTCAACCCGGTTTTTAGCCCAAAATAAACTTGGGCGGGTCACGACCCAATTCAACTTCTATCTCAACCCATTTTAATATTTTCAAATTTCAGCCCAATCCACCCATTTGACCCCCCTACTCATAATTCTTTTTCTTGGAAATGGATACAAGAACTCGAATTCAATTTCTGTGCTGTGATTTAGTGGTGATAACCCAGAAGTCTGGGTTCTTCAGGCAAAGAAGTATTTCGCCTTCCATAATATTTTATGGGAGCATAAATTGTCCTTGGCTTCTTCATTCTATTTTGATAATGAGTCTTTGGAATGGTATCAATGGTTATTTCGCAACTAAAAACTCGCTGGTTAGGACCATTATATGGACAAATATTGTTGATCCCGTATTGAAGATGCACATCGATTGTGCTTTGCGTAAGTTGAAGGCAAACTGTAATTTTTTTATAATAAATAATAATAATATAATTCAGGAGATGAATCCTTAAAAATAAATGGAAAACATTTCAACTTAAATTAACATTACAAAATCAAATTAAGGATATCAAACTCAAGAACACCATTATTACAACACTAAAACAATAACTACAAAAGAAGAACAATGAAAGAGATAAAAAAGATCATAGAACGAGGACTGAATCTCAATGAATCGTAACAACAAAAGATACATTGACTCTAGTTTATTAGGTGAAGGAATATTGTTCGTACCTCATCGAACAATCAACAAATTCGACTTGACCTCCAATACTACCATCACAGGTAGTTATCAAATAATCTTTTGCAAGCCTTACACAAGTATCACAATCTGAATATTCTACATTTGAACTACAAGTAGCATGACCATATGCTAAAGCATTAGGATAAGGAGATGTTATGTAATAATCATAACCTTCTTTTGGTGTCTCATTACTTAATTCTATAAGAACATAAGCTAAACTATCTCCAAATGGGCCATTTTTGTCGTACATTTCACCATTGCATGTATGGTCCAATAATTTTGACTCTGGAAATTCACTTCTCACAAAACAATTAAAGCACCCTATGATTAAAATTATGATTATGAATGTGGTTAGCAATTCAATTCTCAAAATTGAACTCATAGGTAGCTAGCTATATGTATCTTCTATTTCTTTCTCTTTTTGTTAACAAATTGAGTTTAATTATTAATTACTTGTGTTTAAATAGATTTATCCTTACATTGATTTCTCCACCAATGGAAATTAAGTATACCATAACTTGGTCTAACATGCTTATTGTAATTTTAAATTATTATATTACATAAAGCATATATGTTGCCGGCAAAATATATATTTCTTTAATTTGCTTTGATGTAAATCCTAATGTTTGGTATAATTCTTCCTGGAGGAGGAATATTCATACAAATTAAAGAAGTTAGATGATTAATAGTACTGATCATGCAATGCTAGTATTGATATAACAAAGAAATTCTGAGGCGGAGATGAGATTTGAAATTTATGAATTATTTTTATGTTTTAAATAAATAATTTAGATATAGTCAATGAATTCACCTCTCTCACTCTCCATCCTCTCTCGCTCGCCTCTCTTCTTCCTCTCCCAATCTCGCTTGTCTGTCTCTCTCTCTCTCTCTCTCTCCCTCTCTCCTAATCTCGCTTGTATACAAATACATATGCATAATATACAATTATTTAACTGCTACACATATACAATTCACCTCTCTCCCACTCTCTGCCCTCTCTCGCTTGCCTTTCTCCTCCCTCTTCCAATCTCGCTCGCCTCTCTCCTCCCTCTCCCAATCTCACTTGTCATATATACAAATACATGTGTATAATATACAATTATCTAATCAATATACATATACAATTCACCTCTCTCCTCTCTCTTCTAGCCTCGCTCGCCTCGCTCGTCTCTCTCCTCTCTATAACATGTAGCTACGAATTGTAATTATCAAAGTATATCTATAACAATTATTAACTATTTTTGAGTGACTAGATGTAAAAGTTCCCCATTCTTTAATATAAATATAGAGTTTGAACCAAAACGGCTAGGTTCAGTCAAATCTATTATTGAAGGGTTAGCTTCAACCTCCTTCGTGTCTGCATTCGATTTTACGTACATTTTTTTAATTTTTACTTGATTTTGATTATGAAAAAATGCATCAGATATAATACTAAACAAAATTATTTGGTTCTAATTTCATTTTTTCTATTCGATTTTTACAGGTAATCATAGTTTGTCACGTGTTAGTTTTTAAGACCGTTAATTAATATGCATGGTGTAAGTGCTTCTAAATTGTGAAATGAAATCTGTTAATGGGTTTTAGAAAATCATTTGTTTTTTCTAATATGATTTATGAAACAATTTATTTTAGTTTTTTTTTTAATTTCTATTCTATTTGGAACATCTAATTTTTATCTGGATTACGAAGGTTCCCATTAATAAAAAAATTAGCTCTATCTGAAGTTTATAATTATAATCAAATAATTCGATGGGCAAGCTTTTAGTTTTTGACAATTGAGAGAGAGAAGGCGATATCCAATATTATAAACTAATTAATGTGTTTGTCATACTTTTCACCTCAACTAATAAATAATTATTTTTTTTTAGCAATTCTTCAATTCCAACTTTACACGTGTACATGTTTAAAATTATGAAACTAAAAGACATTTCACATATTTTAATTTAAGATCACAAGATTCAAAAATCTTTTTATTTTTTTAAATTTCATACCAGACTAATATAAGACTAATATTTTTGTGACCCGCCCATATTTCAATGAATTGAATAAGTAATTTTTCATATGGGTAAAATATGAGTAAAGTATAGGTAAAATATGAATAAAATATGAATTAGCCAAATGAGTTGAGTTTC